GGCTCAGGGGTGCCTGCTCTGCCTCTTGTGTAACCATTTTTTGTCTATTTTGGATATTTTCTAATAAAACCAGTTAGCAGCAGCTCTGTATGTGTGTGTGTGTGCGCTGGAGTCCTGCAGCCCCTCTCCCCAAATCAGTGCCCAGGCATGGCCATAGCAGCACTTTATTAGAGACAACGCAGCCCAAGGAGCAGCCCCAGCCTCACTGTTACTTCCACAGCTTCTTGATGGACATGTTCTTCTCACTGTCCTTCTGCATCACCTGAGCAGGGAGGAGCAGACCCTTGGTTCCTATTTGGGTGCTAACAACCCCCCAAACACCCCCCACCAGGACCAAGCTTCAGCCCTGCCCAGGGAAGGCACTGCAGCCTCCATCACCTCCCCAGCCTCTTCCACATCACTCACGTGGTGACAACACCCTTAACACCATTGTTTGTCCCCAGAGCTGCCCCCCTCCCCTTCAAGTGTGGCAGCTCCCAGCACAGTTTGTGCCCCCACACCAAGGAGCTGGCCACAGAGGAATCCACCAGCAACCCCCCCCCACAGCACTTACCTTGGCAACAGCCATTTCAAAGTCTTCCTGCGTGACATGCACCCTCCTCTCCCTCAGCGCATACATGCCAGCTTCTGTACACACCCCCTGCGACGGACAGGGAGGTCACCCACCGCTGGCCCCTCTGCCAGCCCAAGTGCTGCCGCAGGGCCCACGGCTCACCTTGACTTCAGCGCCCGACGCCCCCGGCATCAGCTCCGCGATCTTCCGCAGGTTGATGCCTCGCGTCAGGTTCATTTTCCGGGAGTGGATCTTGAGGATGTCCAGACGGGCCTGGAGGAGAGTGGCAGCAAAGTGGGCATTGGAATTGCTGCCAGCCAGGGCTGGGGACAGCAGGGGACCAAGGGAGAGCCGGGGCCCAGCACAGGGCACCCCACTTACCTCCTCGTTGGGAGGGGGAAACTCGATCTTCCTGTCGATGCGGCCGGGGCGCAGCAGAGCCGAGTCCAGGATGTCAATCCGGTTCGTGGCCATGATCACCTGCACGCGAAGAGCAACTGTCTTCACTCCGGGCACTCTGCTGCCACCACAGGGGTGGTGGGATCCTGCCCCAGCCCCAGCACCCTCCTACCTTGATGTTCTTGGTGGCCTCAAAGCCATCAAGCTGGTTGAGGAGCTCCAGCATCGTGCGCTGCACCTCGCTGTCCCCACCAGAGCCGCCCTCCAGGCGGGAGGAGCCGATGGAGTCGATCTCATCCATGAAGATGATGGAGGGAGCATGTTCCCGGGCCATCACGAACAGCTCCCGCACCATACGGGCACCTGCAGGGAGCAGAGGGCTGAGGCCTGGCACCATGCACAGCTCAGCACAGCCGCAGTGCTTCCATCTGCCCCGGACACCACATGAGAGGCCAGTCCTGAGGCCACCCAGCACCACCACAGCCCTCACTGGGGCTCTGACACAAGCAGCTGCCTCCCTCCACACCCTTCTACCTTCGCCAATGAACTTCTGCACCAGCTCAGAGCCCGAGACGCGGATGAAGGTGCAGTCGGTGTGGTGGGCCACAGCCCTGGCCAGCAAGGTCTTGCCTGTGCCAGGGGGTCCGTAGAGCAACACGCCCTGCAACAGCCACATGGATGCCTCAGCACCCCTGTCTGTAGCTGCACCCCGACAGGAGACATGGGGAGCACCCAGTGGTGACACAGGCAGCATCACAGTGGCGGCACAGAACCCCCAGATACTGACTCCAACCACAGACCTACAGCAGCAGCACTTGCCTTGGGCTGGGCGATCCCCAGCGCCTCAAAAAGCTCTGGGTGCTTGACCGGCAGCTCAATTACTTCCTTGATTTCCTTTATCTGCTTGTCCAAGCCCCCAATCATCTCGTAAGTGGAATCTGGAACCTTCTCCACCATCATCAGGGACACGAGAGGGTCCACTTTGTTAGGCAGGATCTTGTGCAGCGTGTAGCTGTCATTGCGCAGGGCCACGCGGCAGTTCGGGGTCACCTGCAGCAAGAGCAGAAGGGAGCTCAGCACCCCCGCTGCAGGGACGGGGCAGGCAGTGCCAGGCTGCCCCGAGGGAGCGGTCACATCCCCTCCCACAGCTCCAGCAGACTCACGTCATTAATGTCGATGTTCTTGTCCACGTCCACCACAAATTTCCCCTCTGGATGTACCTGGAAAGCAGCAGTTGCCACCATGAGAATTATTTCCCTGAGAAGTCCCATCGTGTGCCCAATACCCACACCAGCTGGAGGAAGGAGCCAGAGAACTGTGTCACCACCAGACACCCTGTGGCCCCCAGGAAGCCCTAAGCCAGGCGCCTCCCACCCTCCTGGGGAAGGTTTGGGCCCAGGAGAGCTGCTGCAATGTGTTCCTCCGCAGAAAGAACTCTCACTTTGTGTGTTTTGGTTGTTACACCTGCCTAGAGCTCATGCTCACACTTGCTCCAAACCCCATGGGCCAAAGGGAGGATCTGCCAGACCCCACCCTGCTCACCCCTGCCCCAGCGCAGTCAGCCTCAGGACAGCTCAGCCTCGTACCTTGACGAGCACTTTCTTCTTGTCCATGGCTCTCACCACTTCTCCCACGTAGGAGCCCTGTTCCTGCAGAAGCTGCAGCTCCTCCCGCAGCAGGCGCACTGCGGAGAGGGAGACATCAGTGCCGGAAGCAGGCACCTGTGCCCTGACACTCTGCCCACAACGGATTGGCAGCACTTGCCACAGCGGCTGGCAACTGGGCCAGGAGCCACCAGCCCAGCAAGCGGGACCAGCCCTAGAGAGAGGAAGATGAGAGGAGCTGAGCTGTACCTTTAGCGTTCAACTCATTTCTCTGCGCTTGCAGGCGCCGCAGGTTCTGGCTCTTCTCATTCACGATGAGCTGTTGAGAAAAAAACTCTGCTGAGGCCTCAGTGTCCCGTGCAGCACTTACATGGACGCAGTGTAGGCACCAGCACAACAGCCTTTGTGGGACAGGGACCTGGAAGGGGACAGCCCCTCCCAGCAGGACATGGCCAGCCAAACACCACAGCCAAGGGCTGGGCAACACACATGCAGCAGCACTGACAGCTCACAGGACTGAAACTCATCTCATACACCCCCACCACCCAAAGGCTGGGTCCTGCTTGCAGAAACCACCCTGGGGCAGTGCTTCCTCCCAAACAGGGCACCTACAACATAGGAAAAACTGTAGGTGCTCTTCAGGCAAGCGCAGGCACAAGAAAACAGCCACATAGTCTCAAGTAGAACCACAGGGGGCAAGACAGCTGGGCATCTCCTGTGCAGCTGGGACTGGCTCACCTGCAGCTCCTCGATCTTGGACAGATAGTACTGCCGGAGCCCTGTACCGCCTTTCCCATCATCCATCTCCATCTGTGAGAGAGCAGAGCTCAGCAGCACTGGCCTTAGCCCCGAGGGACCCCCCATTCCACCTCGAGTCTCGAAGTCCACCTCTACCCCCCAGTCAATCTTCGTGCTGCCCCTCCAGTCCCAACTGCCCCCTCCAGCCTCCCTGGGTCACGTCCTGGGTCCACGCTGTCCCTCCGACCCATCTTCTGCTTCCCCGGGCCGGTGCCTAACATCACCCTCCAAGCTCCCGTTCCCCTGCGAGTCTCGCCATCCCCACACACATACCGCTTCCCATTACCCCTCCTAGAGCTTCGTCCCGCATCACCCAAGACCTGACCCAGGCCCCGGTCGGCTTCCGCCACCTTAGGGAGGCTGAGGCAAGACCCGCCGAGTCACGGCGCTCGCCAGGCCCCGACCAGATCCGCTCCCAGCAGAGCCCCGCAGCAGCACGGCACGACCCGAGCACCCC